GTTAAATGACATTCGTGTCAGAGAGACACCGAGCGATGCCTTTGAACAGCCCACTTCAAACTTTTGAAGTGTTTTCCTTTGGTGCGGCTAGCATCCAGAAACACAAATCAGGTAAAACCACTCCATGCCTTAAAAAAGAAAGAGCAGGGAAAAAAAATAAATCAAAACCCAACTTCCCTTTGGCTTTTATTCTTGATGTCATCAAAAGACTAAAAAGGATATTTCAGGCCTGGCTTCAGCCTGATGGAACAGCAGGGAAGTTCTTTTCTATTAGATCCTTGATACAATCACGTCTGGTGAAATCACTGCGGTCACATCTGCTGAAATCTTCCATCATTTCGGATTTGTTTCAAAAGACTCAATCTGTCTGTTTTTAAAGGGCACGACTACTTTCCCAGCCCCTCCTTGGTGCCTGAAACAGTGATTTTTTATCAGTCAAACATCTTAGACCCTCCTGGCCCGGAATGCTGGAGTCAGCTCTTGTCACCATGTGCGTGCTTGGTAGGGCAGCCTCTTCCAACTGCTTTCATTTACATCAGGGAATTTGAAACAAAATGTTTGCATTTGTCTTTAGGCTGAGGAGAGAATAGACACAGCAGCTCGTGGTCTGGGTGCCTCATTTTCATGATGGATACTCTTGAGGATGCATCTTTTTGCCACTGCAGTGGTTTTTTGTGCCTTCCATGGCTGCTGTGACCTTGGAAGGAAGGCTGGGAAAGTGTGTGGTGAAAGGGATGGGGAAGCAAGGGCATGTGTTGGAAGAGGATCTTGCCTCTGGCAGTGGTATTGTTGGAGAAAGTGCAAAGAGAAGGTAAAAGAAAACAACACACAAATAGCAGTCTGAAGTGTGTCAAGACTGAATCACTTTTCTTCTTCCTGGTTAAAATTTCTCACAGCCTCTTCCTGTAGGTATAGTTTGCCATCGAAACCAAACATCTTTCCTCTCCTTTCTCTCACTTGCCCTCGGCTAAAATAGAAAATAGGAGTCCCATCCTCCTTTCCCTTTCTGCAGCTCTGTCTAAGCCCACTGTCTGAGGCCAGGAGAGCTGCTGGCTCCTTGCATAGAGAGCCCTTTCCTTTTCTCTTTCTTCAGCGACGATTCCCACAGCCCGCAGAGTGTGGCAGACAGCTGCAGGGGTGGAAAGAGGGGAAAGCGGAGTAAAGTTTTGCCAGTGCCAGATTCCACGGTGTCTCTCAGACAGTTTGGCTCCATCGCATCACCCAAACGTACATCTATACCTGTAGGGCATCTCACTTCCCAGCAAGGGCAGATTGCATTCTCCAACACCAATGAAATGGGCTTAACTCAGCCTGCTTTGGACAAGCCTTGAGCCGAACCAGTGGGTGGGAGGGAGGTGGATTTCAATGGTAGAAAACAGCACTGTAGTGAGCCCTGGTGCCCTAACCCTGACCTAACCCTAAACCACACACATCTCTTGCCACAGAGATAACGACTGTCCCACGCTGCAGCACTGCATGGCAGCAAACACGGTGAGGAGAAACAGGGAAACAGAGCACAACAGAGGGGTTAGATCTGGATAAGGACTGGAATTAGGGGCAGGAGCTTGGAGGGACATCTGGGAGCCAGATTCTTCTACATATCCCTATTGCGAGGAGCTGACGTGGACAAACAGCAATGTCCTTGCATCCCTTCTGTAACTTGCAAACTGTAATAAGAGCAGGTGATTTAGGTTGTAGGAAAAGGTGCCCCAGGGGAAATCATTGTGTTTTTCATATCGACAAGTTGTCCTATGGCCTTTTTTAGCACAGTGAGCTCAACTTCAAGGCCCTGCGTGCCCTCTGCACTGAGTGCTCTGCACAGAGCTTCCCTTGGGGAGGCGAGGGGACCTGTGGCACTGCCTGGTGCTGGGCGGTAGGATTAGGGAAATGAAAGCCAGTTTTCATTGGAACGGTGTGGGTTGACAGGGCGCAGGAGTGGATTACCCTCACAGCTGCTTGGAGCCGCACACCGGGAGTTCAGGGGCGGCCAACAAGGCAGGCAGTGCTGTTTTTCTCTCTTCTGCCTCGCAGCAGGGACTGAGCCAGGGGGTGGGAGTGTAGGCGCTGCAGAAATGCACGTGAGTGGATAGACTCTGGCGTGAGTAATTTGTTGGATTGGGTTGGTTTATGTTTGCTTTCTGTCGAACTCACGTTGGCCTGGCCAAAGATAGCATCCTTTTCCCTTTTTAAAGCCGTTTTTCCATATACTGCTGGCTGAAAGGGAGCGTGCACAAGTGACTGCAGCGATGCAGTAAATCCGACAGAAATAGCAGGAGCGGTTCTTTCTGGTTCCAAGCGTTCGGATTTGCGAAGTCGTTCGCTCAGCCGGCGCAGTTCCTCGGAGCTGAGCCCTGTCTGCGCCGACCTGTTGCGCCGTGGGACCTGGCGCTGGGGATCTGTTCCAGAGCAATATCATAAAACTTTTATAGCGACGTCATGACAAAGAGCATGAGAACAGAAATAAGTTAACCCTCTCTTACTAAAGTTTTGCTGTTGCAAATTCTCCTCCTGTTCCCACGTGCAGTAAATCCCTTGGTGGAAGTTGGAGGGTGGTGGGGAGAAAAATGCAAGATTTGTGGAGATGGGGGATGGGGAAGAAGGAGAAGCCTGTCTGTGCGAGCACTGCTGTTTCACAGAGGTACTCGAGGTCCAGTCCCATCCCCATCAGCCCTCACACACATCAGCAGCATTATTCGTTGGCACTGTTGTACTGCATTCTGCTTCAGCATGTGGAGAATTGAGCTCTTCATCTATATTTATTATATTTTAATTGAATAAATAAATCTTTTGCAGAGCCCCAAATCAGTGGAGATATTTCCATGTTCGTGGTTTTTTTTTTTTTATTATTATCATTTTATTTTTCTAGGTTTCCTAAGGACATTTAACTTTTACAACCTCACAACTTGCGCTGCGGTCTTTGCTCGTCAGTTATTGCATAATCGTGCTGGGGGATGAGAACCTGGGAATCATATGGCACAGAAATGCTGAGAAGCAGAAATAAAATCTGCTGATCTTCTAATCTGCTGCCATCTCTCCTCTCCAGGGTCAGCGCTGTCCCACAGCCAGGCACCAAGCAGCCCCTTCCTGGGCCCCACTTGTACTCCTGGTTCTGCCATTGACTTGCTCCATGATTTATCTCTGCAGATGCTGGGTGCCCTTCTCATCTCTCCCTCCTTCCAGACTGGCTTTTGGCTTAAAAATTCTCTGGAGTGGAGCAATCTCGTGTTTTGGGTCTAGGAAGCCTGTGGCTGCCCTGCAGTTATTGTAGGCCAGCAATTGGGGGATGGAGGAAAACCAAGCCAGAGCCATGAAGTGTGCTAGTAATGGAAAGGAAATTAGACTGTTTCAGGTTTAAAAACGCAGATACCTACAGTTAGCCTTGAGTAATAATCTGGGACAATTCCTGCCTAAAGTAATTATTTTTTGAACAATAGTTTGGATGGAAAAACTTTGATTGGTTCCATAATAAAAAGAAGTAAGAAAAATTGAGTTTGTAAGTAGTTTCTAACCTGACTTTGAGCCTTTTAAATTATGTGTTCTTGCATAAAGCGCATTGGAGATTTCATTTTCATGTCAGTCAAGCCAAATTTATTGTAATCCAATAAGATTTAATAATCATTAGGAACTAATGAATGCCTTAGCACGTATAAGCTTGGCAGCTCAGAGCCTCCCTGCTTTGCATAGGCTGTCTCTCTGACCAGGTTGCTGCTTACGTGTCGGATTGATGAGAGTTCTGTAAAACAGGTAATGATCTAGTGCTCCTTAAATGAAACTCGAATAAAACCTATCTGGAGCAGACAGTGAGCCAAAGGGAAAGGAAAATTTTTGGCTTGGAAAATTGAAGTAACTCGGTGAGAATGAAGGCAAACAGAGCTACATTGTCTGTGGGGAAGTGTTGGTATGGTCTGTACCGGCTTTACAGCTGAAATTAGGTGAGATGTTATATAATTCTTTTGTATTTTTATTATGGTAATAGTTAAGCTGCATTGAGCTCTGTAGCTGCATGTACATGGAGAGCCTCTGCCTGCGGAGTTCACAGATGGGAAAGGACAGAAGACAAATATTGACTATGACTCAGGTTCAGAGAAGACTTTAAATGTGTATTATTTCACTTGACTCAAGAACTTCTGCTTCTGTGCCTGCCCTGAGTGTAGCTAGGTGGGTAAACTCCTGGCATCACACTTGATGGGGATCCTTTGCTGGCTTCCTTGAATATTGCTATGGTCCATGGGGACTACTTTATCTCCTGCGTCACTGAGCCATGAGCCTTTTGTTCTTTGCTTCCAGAAGTGGGTGATGGTGGTGAAAATTCACGTCTCTTCCCATTCATGGGAATGTACTGACCACACTGATGCAAATGGGGAGAAGCCAATTTAAATGCAGAGAGAAAACAAGGTGAACTCGATTGAGAAGCGTCCTGGATATGGGTTGGTGTCTGCTCTGGTCATGGACTTCCCTGAATAATAACCCTTCTCCCAAAGACCTTCATTGTATTGCTTTGTGACTCCTTGGTTCAAATCATGCCCTTCACTTTGAGTTTGCTAGAAATAAATTGAACTTTTTCACTCCTCAAGGGAGTGATGGAAATTGCAAAGAAGTGTTGAATCAGACAGGTACAGCTAGCATGGACTGATTCAAAATAACAATAGGTGTGCAGGTGGCCAGGTGCTGGTTTCAGCTTGCACCTCCACTGCCTTTGTGCTCACCTCGGCAATGCACTGCTTACCATGTTGCATAACCCTCCATGGCAGCACAATGGGACCATTGTGGGAAATGCATGAAGAAAAGCCTCAAAGCAGCCTAAATCTTTGTGAGGTGATGAGGTGATCTGCTCATCCCTGATTCTGGGAGAAAGCTGTAGCATTTCAATATGTTTGTTGAATCCCTGCAACCTGAGAGTTATTGCTGGGGCATGGTGGCAGCTCCCTTTGAGGACACTAAGAAACCATGTCCTGGGACATGGTCTGAGTAACTGGAATGCTTCTTCTTTCTTCTTCAAGGTGAATCCCGGTGGCAAGACACTTGAGGAGAGGCGCTCCAGCCTGGATGCAGAGATCGACTCCCTGACCAGCATCCTGGCCGATCTGGAGAGCAGCTCTCCCTACAAACCGCGGATCCAACAGGTTGGTGGCATGTTGCTTAAGCCCAGAGTGGGAAAGTGGCCAGAACCAACTGCTGGAGTCAGTTTGCAAACCGCCTGGTATTTGGTGCGAGCAGGCATGCCAGCGTGTCCTGATAGCATCCAGATGTGGCTGTCAATGGGAAGGAGGGTGCAGCCGCTCTGAAGGGGCACCAGCTCAGAAGCTGCAGTACCTCCTAGCAAGGGGCCTCTGATCCCAATTGTTACACTGGCCTTGGAGATCGTTAGCAAAAAGTTTACAAAGAAAAAGACATTTCCTTTGCCCCAACTTTCTGTCAACAATAGCTTATGAATTAAAATCTGCCCAGTTCACAAATACTTTTACACATTTCTTTCCCCATTCTGTTAACTTTTATCTGGTACACTGTCAGAACGATCCAGGTACCCGCATTTCAAGTTGGTTTGTTTTTGTGGTGTGATCAGTGGCAGTGACACAGCTCAGGGTGGCTGTAGCCCAGTGAAGTGGGTTGCTATTCCCATTTAATCCACTGTGCCTACGTGAGGACTGCAGGAGTCGCCTAATTTTTGCCACTAATATAGGTAGCACCTCTGTGGAATTACTTATGTTCTATTAAGATGTGTCTTTATCAGAGAAAGTGGTGAAACCCCGGTGGCACTTAAAGAAGAGCAGTGCATGTGATCTTGATAATCATCTCAGACATGTTTATGCCCATCTGTGCAGCTCTTTCGTGTCCTGTTCCCATAACTTGTCTCATTTCTTATATGTACGTGTGTCTGTAGGCATCTGTGCAGCTGTGTGTGCCTTACTGGTGTCAGCTCTGACTAAAACCCTTTGATTCTGTTCAAAGAAAGAGTCAATTGACGCAGTACCTACCCACTATCCATACAGGCCATCCCTTCACTTTGTGGCTCTTATGATTCTTTTCACTGTTGCATTTGTTTTGAGTAATGCAGAAATGATACTTTTGAACAGAACTAAAACAGTGACCAGAGTTCATTTAGGTTTAAGGTCATGTTTAAATAAGTGAACTTAGCAAAAGCGGTGTTGAATAAGGTTGGCACAAGCCCATCCCAGGTGTCTGCAGGCAGGGGCTCTTGTTGCAGCCTTCTGCAGGGACTGCCCAATAAACTCTTCCTTCATTCCAGCTGCATCTACACGATTGCTGCATAAGCTAACAGATATATGGGTATAAACAGTCTGATTTGGGTCAGTCAGTCAAAGAGAGCAACAGCACAACCCAGATACCACTTGGTCCTCTTCCCAGTGTTTTTTTTGTTGTTGCAGTGAGTGAGACAAATCTTAACAGTGATTGTGCTCGGGCACAATGTGTCGAATAATCTGCACTCATTTTGTTTGTATGGACCAGGCGGATACAAATGCACACTGGTATTGGGAAATACTTTACAGCATCAAAACCCTGTGAGAGAGTTAACTGGAAGAGATTGGCACTCACCCATTTTCCTTGGCAATGCCCGCAGTCAGCCACAGTGCCTTAGTAGAGACAGCAGCTCGTGTAACCAATTCTCTGAGCGTCTGCAGTTTTGTGATCTGCCAGTACTGCTGACTGCTTCCTGATACTCTTTTCTTTGGGATCTGGCATTGTGTGAACAGATTGTTTCCCCGCTTTTATTTTGTACCCATCCTATTAAAAAAATTCACAGAGTTCAAACGCAACGTTCTGCAGCATAATTAGAGTTACTGCACCTCAGAAGGCACAGCCCAACTTTGGGACTGGATCTGACTTTCCAGGCACGCCAACACGTGCTGCCAGTTGCACATGTTTGTTCCTGTGGCTTTTTTGCTTGAGGTTCTGGTTGAGGATCTGGAAATCTGTCCTCCACCCAGGAATGGCAGGATGGTGCTGTCCATCCAAAATGCCAACCAATGTGTTTGGCTTATGAGACTCTCTGGCATTTATTGGTTAATGTGGCAACGTCCCATGGAAAGTACAGTTACAGCAACTCCCAACTATGGCTGCTACAAATAGAAAATGCCCGAGTTGAATGTGTCATTTACTGTAATTAAAAAGTACTCAGACGAGTCCTTGAAGGGTGGAATTAGAAGGTAAAGCTTTGATATTTTTCTTTGTTTGATCTGTACTAAGTATTAAAACTGGTGAGTCATTTGATGGTCTTACAGTGGGATAATAGATTAGGCTGCAAATTGTGAGGTACTTACTCAGAACATCAGCGCATTTATTGGATTACACCTCAAATGACCTTCCCAAATTTATCAGGATAATGACTGCATAGAGGAAGATAAGAGTCACAACTTGTTTCGGAGATGTTTCTAGTTGTGCTTATGCAGTTAAAGCATTATAACAATTTTATAGGTATACCTTGCCCTTGGGGATGCTCCTCCTTATGGAACAAGAGGAATTTTATTGTTAGGTTTCTTTTTTTCTTCTTCTTTGATCTTCGAAATAGTTTTGAAGCAACATAAACTAAACTATAAAATTGTCCTCTCGTTCTGGAGTGAGAGTGATAGCAGGATCTGAGTGGCTTGCCCAACACTGCCTGCCTTCATTGGCATAAATTCAAAGAGAGAAGCTCTTCTGATCCTCAGTACGTGTTCCAGATTGCAGTGAGACACGGTGCAATGGGAGGTGCCCCTGGAGCAGAGGGATTCGTATCCTCCTCATAGGTTTGGAAAGTCCAAATTACTTTTCAGACTGTAGGGGCCAACCCCAGACGTGGCTCAAAGACATTGCCCCAGGCTGAGCCCATCACTGAGAGTTTCTCTGGCTGAGTCGCTGGAGCAGCCAAAATTGATTAAAATGCTCTTGTGTTGTTTGGTTGTTTTTTTTCTTTTTTCTTTCCAAATTACACATATCAAAAAAACAGCAGAAAATTGTAACGCTGAGTTGTTATCTTTGGCTGCAGCACAGCAGTGCCTGGGGATGCTTTCTGTCATGGGAGCTGTTGGGAGGCACCATGTTTCATAAGTCCAGCTGGAACTCATTTTTAGAAAGGACCAAATAACACCTGAGCTTGGGAGGTGGCTGTGTGCTCATCACCAGTCTCCTGGTGTTGTGGTTAAATTGGAGGGGGCTGAATCAGCCGTACGTAGGTAGAACTGCAGTTGCATTATGACAAAATCTAATTAATATTTTCCTCCTGTTCGGTAAAATTCAGAACTGTTAGCGTGATGTATAAAGTACAGAGATCCTCTTGTGTGGCTGTGATGTATTTTCTGTTTACATATCACACCTTTAAATTGCAGTAACCCATTGGAAAGTTTAGAGGCAGAGAACCCACTACAACTTGTAACAGTAAAAGGAGGTTGTGTAGTGAAGGCATGGAGGAGCATAAGTTCCATGGAAGGGAGTAGGGGCTGTTCCTAAACCAGTGAACCCCAGCCTGGCTGCTGTGTAGATGCTGTGGTCATCCAACTTCTCTGTTAAAAGGTATTTTCCCCAACTTAGAGGGATGTTTTTAAACTGTTCTGTTTAAACTCTAGCTTGGGAGATGAGTGCAGCAAGGCCTTAAGCAAAAAGAAAAAAAACTGCCAAATTTCAGCCCATAAAATAAATGTTTGCATTTTTTTTTTTTTTAAACAAGAAAACTTTGTGACTCTGGAGAGAAAGCTTCCAGCAGAGGCTGTGAAAATGAAATACTGGAAATAGCAGCATATGAAAGCTCAGGATTTTTTGTCCCTGCTGTGAATTATGTATTGAATGCTGATTGCTTTGTTTGGAATCAGACACCTACCTTCAGAAACTCTTGGTTTTTATCCTGAATTTCCTGCAGATTGCTTGGCAAAATAGGACTTTGTGAGAGGTGTGCCGGGCAATAAGATGTACCTGGTCCAACCGTAATGAGCCTGTTTTTTAAAAAAGCAAATAGCAGGTCACCAGAATTTACAGAGTATTCAACTAGAGAAAAGAATTGCTTTGATGATCAAAATCAAATCTACGTGTGTGCAGCTCTCAGAGGCAGCTGCATCCAGAAGGACTCAGGAGATGCGTTTCATTCCCACCTATCACCACTGTGCAAAATGACCATGGATGGAGCATTTCTGCTTTGCTTCCTCTCAAAACCTCCTCAGTCTGCATAGCTTGGCAACTACTTGCATGTGATTTGCCTCCTGCCCCCGTGTATTGCATCTAGCGAAATGAAACCTTGGTCTGGGTTGAAGTCCTTTAGGTGATGTTCTTGGACAAATAATAAAGAAGAGAAATAAAATATTTTTCTCACCTAACAGATGGGGGAAATGATGGCAGAGTTAGGTGAAGTGTCTGAGGGTTTGTGCCTGTACCCCTGCCTCTAACATTGCCCCCCAGACTAGATTCACTATCCCACACTGCCTGCCTAGGCAAGCAATAGTTTGACAGAAAAGAAACTCATTCTCAGTGTGAGCTGCAGAACAATAAAAAAGTAAATAAAATTAAATTAAAAATCAGTGATACATTTTCATTAAGTTCCAAACATACTGGGAAATAATGTCATCTAATGACTGGAGTTTGAAAGGGATTTAAGTGTTTGACAGCGTTGGATGTTATTCCATCACTCCTTTCGACAACCGGTTGGGGACTGCAAAAACAGTGAAAAGGCAATGGGCTTATTTTCTGCAGAGTGATGGAAGAGGATTGGAAACCACAAAACGAAGCAAAATGCTGTGCACTGAACACTCCTAAGGAGCACTCTTTCATGTGCATCCTTAATGCCTCATTTTTATCTGGTCCAGGAATGCACAGCTAAAGGTTTGGGGTTTTTATTTTTGTTTGTGTGGAGCTGAATCTCCAGCCATGACTGAAGCTTCCCAGGCAGCATGGAGCAGAGCATTCCTCAGCATCAGAGGGAGAAAGCCCTATGGTTTCTCTTGGTGTGGGCTGCGGGATTGGCATATGGCTCTGCAAAAGACAGAATGCAACGGCTCTCTTCAAAACAGCCCGTTCAAATTCACGAGTCCAAGCTCAGAGTCTGATTTCCTTGTTCTGTTAACTGAGAGAGCCTGGTTTGTTACACACCAAAAGGATTTTGCAGGCATGGTCCATACAATGTTTACTACTATTTTGGATG